CTGGAACCCCGGGGGCCACGTACAGACGTTCAAAAAGCCCAAGGTGGACTCGACCTAAGTTACATGGCTTTCCATTAGCGGCAGAGTTTATGCTTTGGTGGGGTGGGGGGCAAATCTTAGACTGGATTTCACCATTTTTAAACCAGTCTGTGTGTTCCAAACTTCTGTCCCGTTAAGGGTATAGACCGGTTTTGTGTGCTGAACTACTTAGACCAGTTTCTGATCACTTATGCTGGTAAAAGGGTAATGCCTGTGTATCTGGCCTAAATGTCTAAAGCAAGGCATCTGAACCCACCTTTTGCTATCTTATGATACCGATCAATTTTCAGAGCTGCTGAGCACCTAACATAACCATGTAACTGACAGAAGATGATGGGTTTTCAGAAGCAATGGACAACCCTGGAAACTTATGCAGATGCTTAAATAAGGATTCAGACCCTACCTTTACAAATTTAGACATTGAAATTTGGGATAAACGAGTTACTTCTACGTACGAATGTACATTCCCAATTTCTTTGTGGACAAAGGAGTAGTAGTGAGAATATTCTAATTTGAAGAATATGTTAGACAAAGTAGCAGCAAGTAACAAACCAAGTTCAGAAGTTGTCTGTTGTAATTATTACAATAATTTACAGAAAGCAACAAATGGTACCTTAATATTACAACATGGAATGAAAAAGACTTTCAATTTAAAACTTCGTTGTAAACACAGTACTTTAATGATGGCTCAGCTCTGTAAGCTGCTGAATGCCCTTATCTTTCACTACAGTTCAAAGGAATTGGGGGGTGCTCAGCTCCTCACAGAATTAGGCCTTTAGCCTATCAAAATATTGAGTGAAAAATTGATATTACTTTCAAGCAGTTATGGGTTTTCTGGGTTTTTACTTCGCTCAGTACTGAAAACCAGCTAGCATAGTTCCATTTTTAGTGTTGTAGACTGGTTTGCAAACATTGCAGGGGAAGGTTTGCAATAAAAACCAATCACTTTCCATGGAAGAATAAGAATAATAAGAAGAAACATTTAAATAGGCTTCACTAAGTTCTGGGCCAAATCTGATTCACACATACCTTTTAAGTCATCGAAACAGAGTGATCAGAATAGAGGGAGGCAGCTACTGAGATGGTTCTCCCTACAAGCACACCATGCCTCAGCTGTTACAGGAACATGCCACGATACATTCACAAGCTGAAGGCCACTGGCAAGTAAAGTGGCAAACAACGTACATGTTGACTCTGCTACGATATGCCCATGGTGTTTATAGTAAACCTCCATTTTAAAGGGGCAAAACTTCCAGCAGCACCTCACAGAGCATGATAAAGATCAAATTAATAAGCATTAAGAAAGTTAAAATGAACAGCGCCATTAAGAGAAAACTCAACTATTGGAAGTAACCTATGCACAAGTTAAAAGGGCAAGAAATAGCTGCAGTGGAGATGCAAAGTTATAATCAAGGACAATTTCACTTGCAGATCCATCTTTGCTAATGGTGCAGTCGAATTCGGTTACCAGAGACCGGGGCAGGGTTCGCTGATTTCTAAACTGAGCGAAAGCAGTGTGGAAAGGAGTGAACCCAGTCTGAATGTAGAGCTCTCCACGAGCTCCGAGAGTCATTTTTAAGGGCGTAAGCACTCTTTACATCACTTAGGAAAAGCACTTATCAGTTCAAATAAATATAACTCTATGCATTTCATACATAAAAAAAATCAAGTGCTGCAAGCAACTCTACTATTTTCCGTTAGAGCAGTACAGTAGGTTTGCATTCCTATTGGAAAAGACACATTCACTATGTGGTGTAAGATCCTCCTTGTTCTTTTCTCAATGACACTTGCTGTTTTGCCTCTCAAAAGATCATCAAAACAAAGAATACCACTGTTCAGCTCAAGCTGGGAAATCTACTGATTGCTTAACCTTTGGCCCAGTTCGACTTAGCGTGCAGCCTAGGAGCGTGCTCAGTGCTTGCTCGTAGGTCACTCTGCATCTGCCTCTTAATTGGAGGAGTTGAGACGTTAATATTTAAATTGAAGAACGGTAATCAAGATGCACGATAACAGATGTTTATTCTCCCATTTAAAAAGTATTTGTCAGGTGGTTTCCAGAAGGATTTATTGTTTCCTATATAGTTTTAAGAGAGGAAGATGAAGCGTCACAAAATAATGAGATATTCTACTAAGAAGAGTTTGCAGTGGAAGGGCCTGATTCAAAGTCCATTAACATCAATAAAAGAGATCTATTAAGTTTCAACAAGCTCTTATCAAGCCCTAAGTAAATTGAGATCATTAAATTACACTCATAATCCTATGCCTCAAAGACATCATCTGGAACATTTCTATTAGCAAAGACCTGAGAAACAGAGAACGAGGATTGAGACACTGCTACGGTAGGTGCCATACGTACACATATTGAGCAAAGACGGTTCCAGGTTCAAGTATAGTGCAATGAGAAAAATGTCAAAGCAAATGTTATGAAAATACAGTAATTATAAGTGTCCATGCTTGTAAGAAAACACTCTGAAACTGGTATATCAAGAACAAGAAAGCCATTCAGAAAATAAAAAATGACTGTCCTTCAGAAAGCTGACTGCCAGTAGTGCTGGAGTGATGTTGTAGCCATGATAATCCAGGAAATATACAGCAGGCGAGGATTTTTGTAGGCAATATCTTTTCCTGGACCAACCGCATGGGTGGGGTAGACTTAGACAAGTTGTTTAAGTCTATCCCAACCATGTGGTGAGGCCAATAAAGGTCAGTCACAAAAAATCTTTGTCTACTACACATCAGATATTTAGGGAGTCATTCACAAAAACCTCCCTAACTCACTGAAGCACCAAGAATATCTAGATGTCTAAATGGAGTGGGGAGATGTCGGGCATTTTAATTAGAGCGGCTCCGAGAGCTGCTCTAATTAAAGCACCCAGAGCATCTCATGTATCAGCATCCCCCCGCACTTCAAAATGGTGGCGGGGGCACTTTATCTAAAACCCATTGAATAAGCTTTAGTTTAAGCACCTCTACTGCCATTTTGAAGCATGGGGATGGTGATACACGAGACTCGGAGGCTGGTTGGAGCATGGTTATTACCACGCTCCAGAAGACTTGATTAATCGAGTCTGCTCCGATGTGCTGGAAATACAGCACATTGGAGCAGCCTCCCGGCTTGTGCACAGGCACCCGAAGTTCTCTGGTGAAAACAAACTTCAGTGCCTACATTTCTGCTACTGCACATGCCCAGGTGCATTGCCATCTTGAGTGAACTGAGCATCTAGGCCGTTGTCCTTCTAAACCTGCTTCGCATTCACAAACTAAGTCACCTGATAGACCGAATCTTGTAAGAATACCCAACGCTGACTGACAGCAATGCTTTCAACACACGTGACCATCTCCATTGGCAAATTAAGCGTTTGGAACACTTATGCAAAAAAAACAGAAAAATGGGTTGTAGTCCAGCCTGGCCTGAGAAGGACACCCTATAGCTCCCGCATGCCAGGAGACTGCCCTTACTGCCAGGCACAGGCTAAGGGCAGCCTCTATCCCACCTGTTAGGGATGGAGCCTCAAGCAAAGCGGAATGCAAGAATCATGAAACAAGAAGGACAGCAAAAAAGAGAAGCCAAACTCTACAGCCTAATAAAAAAGGGCACTGCCTTGGGAAGGAGAGAACGTTTCTGATCTCAGCTTCCAATTTTATGTATACAGGGACCAGGACCTAGGATTCCCGGCCTCCCTGGGGAGCGTATGAAGTAGGCATTTAATCTACCTTGGACTGAGATGCCCGAGCCGTCACCACTATTTGACTTTCCATGTTCCCTTGTTATCTGAAGAATTAAGTAGACTTACTTCAATGTTCTACCAAGAGATTAAGGCTGGCCTTTTGTTACAAAATGTGTAGGCAAAATGAAAATGCTTGGAGAACATTTTCCTGAATACCAATAAAAGGTGGACATTCAACAGATTTTTAGGTACTGACCAAAAACAAACAAAGAGTGGGAAGAAATTATGTGGACCAGGCATCACAAATGTAAGTGATGATAGCATACACGATGATCCCCAGGCCTTTACCATGTAAGAGGGTAAGGACTCTTGAGGCATGCAACACTTGAGCAGCAGCAAGAGTCCATGCACATTATCTATTCAGATTCTGAAAGTACATACTAACGGGACAATTTTCACCCTTTGTTTTCAGCATCATGAATAAGAAGACCTTTCTCTCTGCTCTGAGATATTTCATCTCTGCTTCCCATCTTCAATACAGAACTTACCTGTGCTACAATGCCAAACTGTATTAAAAATGATTGTTTTCTCCGCTATAGTGAGTGTTTCATGAAAGGTGCGCCTGAAAAGGGACTAAATTGAAAGAAAAGTAAAAGGCAGCACTGAATCGTATACCAGTTCAGTAAATCCCAGAACACAACGAGCCACAGCTAATTCCATCTCTTCCTGCAAGAAAATGGACCAAATAATCCTCATGATGGGAGAGAGGCGATGAATGGTAGAAAGAGTATGGACAGAATCTAGGTCACTGGGCAACATGCTATAGTTGAGTCGTGGCAGACAAGGAGGACATGTGTAGCAGATGTCACAGCCGTCTTTGTGTGAAATGCTTCCCTTTACCATA